GATCTGTTATTATTTATCAGATAATGATAGGCACATGGAACAGTCCTAGAATCTCAAGCTGGAGGGTGCTTAGAGATCACCTAGTCCAGCCTCCTCATGAGGGTCAGTGGGAACAAGAGGTGCAAGGCACACTGGGAAGGGTGTAGGATATCAGGTGAAGACCTGGCTCCCAACTTCACCCCTGCCCCTCTCAGGCTTCTTGGAGGATCACAGGAGGACATGGGCAGAGGTGGACAGGATCTTAGGGGCCTTTAAGCCCAATCCTCTCATTTTACAGATGAGGAAACTGAGACCCAGACAAGTGAAGAAGCTTAGGAGCATAGGACTCTAGATTTGGAGTCAACCACCATCTAATGATCTTACAGATGAGGAAATGGAGACTCAGAGTTAACTGACTTGTCTGAGGTCACAAAGGTAATAAACATTAGAGGTAGGATTTGAATTTGGGTCCTGCAACTCCTGAGTCAGTGCTCTTTCTGGAGGGTCAGAGATCTAGAAACATACACCTAGTCTGACTGCTCCATTTTACACATGAGAAAACTGAGGCCCAGACAAGTGAAGTAATTTGTCATAGTCAAACAGGTGGTCAGGTACAGAGGGGCGATTTGAGCCCAGAGCCTCTGACTAAACCCAAGGTTGGATACCTCTGGGGAGAGTTCCCAAAAGGCCTGGGAGAGGGCGTGTGCCTATAGTATGAATATCTGTGTATGTCTATGTGAGTGTGTTTATGTCTAACTGTGTGAGTGTGTCTATCTGTGTATGTCTTTGTCTCTGTGTCAGTGTGTATCTGTATGAATATGTGTCTGGGTGAGTGTGTGTCTATGGCTATCTGTGTAAATGTGTATCTGTGTGAGTGTCTACATTTGTGTGTGTTTCTGTGTGTGTGTCTGTATGTGTCTCTGTGTCTGAGTCTAAGTCTGTGTGGGTGTGTCAAAGAATGAGGAACAGAGCAGAGCTGGGCCACCCATGTACATGGCTGCAGGAGGGACAAGTGCCCAGGACACATCCATGGGCACTTCTGATCTCTGTTAACCTCAGACCAGAGACCTTGACCACCCCTGGAGCAGGGCAGAGTCACCTGCACCCCAAGGCCTGAGGCAGTGTTCCAGGCTGCCCAACCTTGGGCCCGAGGATCAGCTCGCTCTTTGGGGGTGGCCCTGGATCACTCAAACATGCTCCGAACCACCCAAGATCTCATCAGCTGAGGAATGCCAGCAGCCACAGACATGCCTGCCCGTGCACCGAGGCACTTCTGTCTACACCCTCCTGGGAGTGCATAGGGTGGGAGTCCAAGGGCAGGTGGGCATTCCTGGCTTCTAAGGGCCTTTCTTGGGCTCTGGCTCCATGTCAAGGACACCAGAGGAGCACAAGAATCAGCCGTCAGCTATTCCTTCCCATCGTCCACGTCCAGGCCAAACTCACACCAACAAGGGCGGAATGCCTTCTTGTGATGGGCTGTAAGGGGGGAGGATCTGGGGCACCCCCCCGCTTCACCTTGGAGAGAAGCTCTGGGGCACCCCACCCCGCTTCACCTTGGGGAGAAGCTCTGGGGCACCCCCATCCCACTTCACCTTGGGGAGAAGCTCTGGGACACCCCACCCCTCTTCACGTTGGGGAGAAGCTCTGGGGCACCCCCACCCCTCTTCATGTTGGGGAGAAGATCTGGGCCTTGGTCAGTGCAGCAGGACCTTTATGAAGGATGGTGGAGGCAGCTAAAAGTGATCCATACCTGGCATTTCATCCGTGTAAGAAATAAACTTCCAGTAAGGAAACTCTCTCTGCCAACGAAGGTACCAAGGCACCTGCTTTGCAATTTATAGTCTGAAAGAGTTGCTGGGACCCTTGAGGTTAAAAGAATTGTTTAGGGTCCCACAGCCAGTAAGTAGCAGAGCCGGACTTGAACCCAGATCCTCCTGAGGCCAGCATCCCCTTTACCATGCTACCGAGCTCTTAAGATCATTCACTGAGCTTAGTCTGGAAGGGACTTCAAAGGCCATCCTGTCCAGCTCTCCTCATTTAACAGAGGGAGAAACTGAGGCCCAGAGGCAAAGTTACTTTGCCGAAGTCACATAGCTAGGAAGGTAGGAAGCATGATCGTTATCACCATCACAGCTAACATTTCTGTGGCGCATCCTCGGTGGCAGGCACTGTGCTAAGTGCTTTACAATTATTTACATTTTGTAGTCATTTGATCCTCACAAGAGTTGTGAGTTCAAATCCGACCTGTGCATGACCCTAGACAAATCACCTAATCTCTCTGTGTCTCAGTTTGCCCACCCATAAAAGGGGGATGATTATAGTAGCTACCTCCCATGGCTGTTGTGATGATCAAACGAGTTAACATATAAAATGCTCTGCAAACCTTAAAGTGTTACATAAATGTGTTGTTGTTGCTGTCCTGTTGTTTTGTTCAGTCGTGTCTGACTCTTCATAGTCCCATTTGGGGTTTTCTTGGAGAAGATACTGAAGTGGTTTGCCATTTCTCTCTCTAACTAATTTTACAAATGAGAAACTGAGGCAAGCAGGGTTAAGTGACTTGCCCAGGGTCATTCAGCTAATAAGTGTCTGAGGCTGGATTTGAACTCAGGTCTTCCTGGCTGTGCACTGTGCACCTGGCTGTCCATTATGCAAATACTAATTATTATTATTATCTTGAAGATTTTCTAGTCCAAATCGCTCATTGTACAGATATGGAAACTGAGTCCCAGAGAACAGGGAAACGACTTCTTCGAAGTCACCCAGCTTCAGAAGCAAAGCCAGGATTAGAATCCCTGGACTCCCAATCCTGTTTCAGCTAAAACCAGCTATGAGGAAGATACCTCTGAGTTTGATACCTCTTCACTTCCTCCAGGCCTCAGCCTCACCTCCCTGGCCGCCTGCTCATCCAGGTGGACCAGGAACAGAAGACTGGGAATCATTGTTGCTTCCCATCATGTTCTCTGGCCCTTTCTCACCCAGGCCAAGGGTACTGGGTCTTCACAAGGCTCAGGAAAAGACCAACAATTCTAGCCGCAGGGAGGTATAAAGGGGTTGGAGCAGGCAGCTCTGGCAAAGAAGGGTCAGTTAATTAGCATTTTCATCTGCAAAATGGGTGAGCACTGGGAGATTCCAGAGCAGATAACATCTGGGAGTGCTTAGGCAAACCTGAAAGGAAACATGGCTTGGAGGCATAGCCTGCAGCACTCAAAGCTCTCCTTCTTAAAAACGGTTCACACCAACCTGCTGCTTTTGATTACTGAAGACATAATGTAGCCATTTGGGGCATTAGGGACTTGAGAATATAGCCATTTTCTGACTTCATTTAAATAAAAGGAGAACTTTGGGAATATCTATGATATGAAGATATTTTCCCCCTAGCGTTCCAATTTTTGTTGCCGTTATCTTTTAAGGATCTAGGTCTAAGAAAGACCTCCGGGGGTCATTTCATCCAACCCCCCCCACCCATTTTACAGATGACCAAACTGAGGCAGAGAAGAATTGAATAACTTGCGTAAGGCCATACAAGAAGTAAAGGTCAGAGCTGGGATTCAAACCCAGGTCTTGGGACTTTATAACCAATACTCTTCCCCTGGGATGGACTCCCTTGACTGCTCTGACCCACTCATTTGGCTGCTCATTGGACCATCCAAGTCCTACTGCGGTTGTCCTGGGTATTTTAACAAATGCATTGAAGAGGCAGCCTCAGTCCTGGGGTGGAGGGCAGTCCCAATCGGTTATTCGTTCACCAAATAGTTAACAGATCATAACGGTCCTTTGGAATTTGAGCTCTAGAACAGGAACTGTGCTCGGTGCCTGGCACACAGAAGGTATTCATTAAAGGCTAGATGACTGATTGACATTTATGCCAAGTCCTGAGGATGGGGACTTTTAGCAGTTCTACCCAGAATATCATAAAACGTTCGAGTGGGGAGGAGGGATGGGAAGCATTGCATGTGGTGGTCCCTGCCTGACCTTGCCCATCTTGTTTTCTGCACTCATCAGACCTTCTGACAGCTTTTCCAGGCTCACAGACTGAGAGCCAGGAGGGATTTCAGAGCCCACCTAGACCAGCCCTTTCCTTTTACAGATGAGGAAACTGAGGCCCCAAATCCAAGGCAAGACAGCCAAGCCCTCTCCACTGTGCCTGCTACTTTCTCCTTCACCATCCATAGAGGTGGCAGGTGCTGCTTCCACAGTCAAACCCACCCCCACTGCAGGGCCTCTCCAGCCTTTGGTGCCGTGGACCCAGCCAGCAGCCAGGCTTCTCTCGCCCCTCCTCTCCTCCAGCTCCAACTTGCCTTTCTTCCAGCTTCAGCTCCTTCCCCTCCCTGTCATCCCTTCCAAATGGCAGGCTTCTCCCAGCCCTTACTTGTTAGTGACCCTGGTCCTGCCCAGCCACATCGGGCCCTTCCTGGCCCCATACCCAACCTCCTGGCACCTCCAGGGGCTGGCCTGTCCAGCACCAAAATGGGCTCAGAGCTGGACAGCCAGGAAAGTCTTTGCACACTTAGTTACAGTTGCTAGGTAGGAAGGAACTTTGAGCCAGACTGTGGCAGACACAGCATGCCAAGGAGGAATTATATACTTCAGGCTGAAAGCACACACATGCATCCACACTGGAGGCTTGTATACCAAACGGTGTGGGACTATCCCAGAATTGCAGAATTTAGGAGGTAGGGAGTACTTCAGAGACCATTATATGAAGACAGACATTCCCACTATGACATCCTCAATAAGAGGCCACCCAACACCTCTTTGGAGGCCTCCAGTGAAGAGATCGCCACATCCCTAGGCAGTCCCTTCAGCACTAAGTTTGTTCTGAAATCCAGCAGACTTCTCATCCACTGTCCTCTGCCTCACTAAAGCAATCCAGCAAAGTGACAGCACACCAGGAATCAGCACCCTGGCAGCCCCAGGTCAAGCTTATCTTCCCCAAATTCTCAAGTCCTGTCTGCCTCTCCCAGAACCACAAATGTCTGCCCGGCAGCAAAGCCTCAGAGAACAGCTCCACACCGCATTACCTATTTGTTCGATGAAAATCTTCCACGAATCGGCAGGAATGGGGTGGATCATTTTCAGGGCCTCTGTGAGAGTGGTTGGGCTGTCTGCGGCCAGGGCTGGGTACTCCTCTGGGGTGGCCACGGTGCCAGGGGTAGATGAAGATTCGCTGTGAGAAAGAGAGAGAGAGAGAGAGAGAGAGAGAGAGAGAGAGAGAGAGAGAGAGAGAGAGAGAGAGAGAGAGAGAGAGAGATTCACTTTGAAACAGAGACCTTTCCTTAAATAGGGGGGAAATGAACACAGTGGCAAACGGAGCATCACCCCTTGGCCTGCTGTGGGGGCCATGCTCACCAGGCAGCACAGAATGTTACTGACTTTTATGTCTGGCCCCCTCCTCTCTCCTCCCTGGGGCCAGGCACTCAGAATACTGTGCTAGGAAAGGAATATTTACTAGGGCTATATACGGTGATTTATGCATCCATCCCCACATGGCCGAAGCCCAAACCTTCATGTTTTCATTGCTTGCGAACAAGGCTTGGAAACTTGGCCCTTCCCTTTGTGGGGGGCTCTTTGAGAGAGTATTTTGCACTTTGGACTTGAGCCACTCTCCCCACCTAGGCAGCACGTGTGTGGAGGTGAACGGAAGAAAAGGCTCATTCACCTGCTGCCCTCTCCACCCCCAAACCCCAACCCTTCAACCCTGGCATAATCTCGTTCTGTGATAACGAAGTGGGCCAGGAAAGACGGAGCAAGAGGGGAACACGAGGAAGAAAGAAGACAGCTGGCTGAGGAAAGGAAGGAAGAGGGCTGGGGTGGAGGGTCTGCTCGGGAGAGGAGGGCGGAAGAGCTGAGTGGGGGCTCTGGTTGCTTTGGAGGTGAAAGGTTGGGGAGGAGAGTGCATTCAGGTTGGATTGGCAGAGAGGGGAGAGACCAGAGATCTGCTCCTGTCCCGTCCTGCCCTCCGCCTCCACTTCCCACAGGCGAGAGAGACGGAGAAAGTCACTTCTCCCTGGGAACAGGGCGGAGGTACCGAGTATCCTGGGGCGGGGGTGGAGGGCGGGAGGTAGGTAGGGAGGGGGACAAGAGCTGCAGCAGCTCTGCTAAGCAATCTCGGGCCCTGAGCCAGAGAGAGGGGCAGGGGTCCTCTGACCGTGCGCAGTTTCCTGGGTCAGGGGCCCTACTTGGAAAGTGAGAGATGGAAAGAGGGGCTGGAGTCAGATCCAGGCTGAAGTGCAGGAACGCAGCATGCCCTCAGGAAGACTCGGGGCTGCTAGGGTGGGAGGAGCGCCGGGAAAGAGGAGGAAAGGGGACGCCGGGAAGAGAGAGGGGAAACAAGGGAGGGGGAGATTGGGAAGAGGAGACTGCAGAGAAAAGGGTTGAGGGTTCAAGAAGAGGGGCGGGGGGCTCAAGGAGAGGACTAAGGCAGAGGGCCACGGGAGCGCATGGAGGGGAGAGGGACTCAGGGCTGAAGAGGGGCTCAGGCAAGGACTGCGAAAGGGAGGCGGAAGGAGAATGCGCCCCCAAAGCAGCCTGCGCTCCCGGAGGCGGCTAGTGCCCGCAGCCCGCTAGTGCCCGCAGCCCGAGGGGGCGGCGTGCGGGGTCTGGCGGACGTGGGCAGCAGCGCCCCGACGGGGCAGGTGGGCAGGGAAGGAGAGGGCAGTGCGGACCAGGGGCCGGGGCCCCCTCACCTGCTGGCCAGGTGCCCAGCCGCCGAGTCCCGGGGGTCGCTCTCCGAGGAGGAGCCCTCATGGTCCACGGCGCAGGCAGCACTGAAGGCGGCAGCCAGCAGCTCCATGAGGGTCCCGGGCCGGCGGGCAGGTGCAGGCTGGAGGGAGCTGGGGAGCCAGGGATGGAGGGAGGGCGGGCGCAGCACGCAGGCTGGCTCCCGGAGGGCTGTGCGGGGCGCGGGCTGGACCCCGAGCTGCCGCTGCTGCTGCCGCCGCTGCTATCCCGCTCGGCTAAGCGGCTGCTGCTACTGCTGCTGCTGCTGCTGCCTGGAAGGCTCCTGGGGGTTGCCACGGTAACAGGAGAGGCGGGAGGCGGGAGGCGGCGGTCACAGCCGCTGCGACGCGGCGCCCACAGCAGCAGCAGGAGCGCCCTGAGAGGAGGCAGCGCGGCGTGGCGCAGGGCTGGGCCGGGCCGAGCAGCGCAGCGCAGCGCAGGGCAGGGCTGGACTGGGCGGGACTGGGCTGGGCAGCTTAAAGCAGGGCAGAGCAGGGCTGGGCGGCACAGGCATGGACAAGCAGCGCCGGGCAGAGCTGGGAAGCGCGAGGCTGGACAGGCAGCGAAAGGCAGCCCTGGGCAAGGGCCGACTCCCCAGCTGGAAGGCCTGGTGGGCCCCAGTGCTATGAGGGAACACTGATCCACCTGCACAGAATGCTTGGGCTGGCTTTGGCAGGCAACACTTGGTTGCGTCTCCTACTTAGCCGTGTGACCTTGGGCAAGTCTTTTCCCTTCCTGGGCCTGTGGATGAGCTAGGTGAGCATTAAGGGCCTTTTCAGTCCTAAATCTAGATGGTGCCTTAAGTTTGATGACTAGGGTTTGAATCTTGGCTTTGCCACTTCCTGCTTGTGTGACCTTGGACAGATCATTTAACTTCTCTGGGCCTCAGTTTGCTCGTCTATAAAATAAGTGAGTTAGTTTACCTCGCCTTGGAGATCCCTTTTGACTCTGATTTTATTTGACTTTGAAGCACTTTCCTCACAACAGCCCCCATTTTACAGAGAGAGCAAGCAGCTTAACCAAGGTCACCCAGCTACTGACCATCTGCACTGAGATCCCACTTGAGGTTTCTTCTGACTCTGAATCAGCAGACTTTTCACTAGATACTGTCACCAATTAAGGACCCAAGGTTTTCTAGTTCAGCACCTTCGTTTTACAAATCAGGAAACTGAAGCCCAGGGGGAAGCCACTTTCCCAGTCTGTTCCTGACATTAGCACTGGGATCCTGCTCCCAGTTCTTCTTCCTCCAAGGCCAGGATTGCCTCTCCTCTCTGACCTCCACCTCTCAGGATCCCTTCAGAATTCAGCTGCCACCTTCTACAAGGTACCTTTCCTTTGGCTCCCCAGGACCGCACCAGGCTTAGCCCATTGTACACCCTGACTGAAGGCTTGTTGAGTGAAAGCTTTGGAGCTGGAAGAAAACCTCAGAGGTCTGACCCCTCATTTTAGAAGAAAAGATTGACCTCTGGAGAGGGAATCTTCCCACAGCTAGTCCTTTACAGGGTCAGAATTTGAACCCAGGTTCTCAGACTCTAAAGCCACTGGGCCACTGAATTAGAAGATTCCTGGTCCCTTCAGACTATTTTCAGCATCATCTCCTTCAACAGGAGGGGGCCAGGAAGTGGGGGTGGGGCTGGGGTGGCTGGTTCCAAGTGCCCCTGAGGGGAATATGGATCAGATTCCAAAATGGGGTAGAAAGAATTTCCTTTGGGTCCCTCACCTTCTCATGGAAGAAAAGGGAAATTTCCCTGATGTTACCTTGAAAAAAGGGGAAGGCGGTTTAACCACAGCTATCTCGCTAACCTGAGAACATCGGGGAATTCCCCCTCTCCACCCAGCCTGCACTTCTAAGAGGAAGGAATTACTTTATCCTTCCCTTAGAAATGACCAGGAAGAGAGGAATCCTGGCTTGGTGGAGGGATCCGTAAGGGAGTGCAAATCAATCTACGAAGACCGGTACTGCCTCTGCCTCCAGCTCACAGGTACCCCTTCAGGCTTGGATCCCCCTGGGTTACACTTAATGGCTTCTGGTATCCTTTCAGTTCTAAATCCAGAGGGCCCAAGGGTCTTTCTCACAACTCCATGCAAGATTGCTGAGGAAGACCCAAATCCATGCCTAGGACTGAGAGATGGAAGGAAGACTCTCTGCTCCAAACTCCTCATTTTTACATGAAGCCCAGTGAAGTTAAATCCATACCCACAGTCACATAGCAAATGGGTGTCAGAGCCTGGATTCACATTTGGGTCTCCTGACTCCCAAATCCAGTCCTTTCTACTCTCCACACTCAGATGGACTGACTCCACCTCTTACCATCTTGGCCAGCTCTCACCCAGGGAGGAGAAAGACAGCCCTCTTTCTCAGCAGGCCTCCATTGTTAAGTTAAAAGGAAATGGGGGTGGGGGTGGGGTGAGATTTGGGCCCAGGGCTCTCAGATAATGGAGAAGCTGGGGCCAGGATAATGCTCAGTCCCCACCACCCTCAGGCCTAAGAAAAGGAGGAGTTCTCCAGCAGTGCCTCCTTTGGAGGGATGCCCATCCTTCAGGCCCCCTAATAATGGGGTGGGGAGGCCCACGGATGTGTTGAAGGAGCAATGGAGGAGACACTTACTGGTTTCTCCATCAGTCTTCTGTTATCTACTGGTCAGGAAGGGAAAAGGTGGGAGAGAGAGAAAATGGTTGATTAAATTTGGCAAAGACAGTAGTATGATATTCCAGAGGAGGAATGAGAGAGAGAGAGGAGGAGGGGGGGCGGGAGGAAGGATGTTGAAGAGGGAAGGGAAATGGTATGTGATCCTATGGGAGCATCTGGAAGGAAGTACACAGCTGGTCCAAGGAACAGACGTGCCTCTGGCCAGATTAGCCAGTCCCAGGACAGGGTCTGAAGGTCGGAGGGATCATCTTGTCCAACCCCCTTCTTTTACAGAAGAAAAGATTGAGGCCAGGAGAGATTCTCGGGCTGTGGACTTAGAGTGGGCAGAGGGCCTCTGAAGCTGAGGAAATACAGGTTTGGGAAGCTGGCAACTGGCCCGATATTGCCACACAGGTGGTCACTATCAGAGGCGTGCTTTGAACTCAGGTCCTCAGACTCCAGAGCTAGGCATAACAATAACACAACCCAATTCAACAAATGTTTGTTAAGTCTCTACTGTGGGTCCAGCACTGGAGGAGGTAAAGGCATGGATCTCTGCCCTCATGGAGTTTATAGTCTAGTAAAGAGGTGTCCGGTTTTAAATTCTTTCTGAAATGGAAATCTGAGGAAGACTGAGCTCACTGCCAGTCTAAGAAGCAGTATGGGAGAAGTACGAATGTTAGATTTGGAGTTAGAGGTCCTGGGTTCAAATCCTGCATTTGACACTCACTAGCTGTGTAACCTTGGGCAGTGTTCCCTTGCCCCCTCTTGGCCTTGGTTTACTTTTCTGTAAAATGAAGGGTGTCCTGGATGGCCTCTGAAGTCCCTTCTAGCTGGGGGAGGGGTCCTGTGGGCCAACCCCACACCCTCTGCTTCTTCAGTGACTCCTTCCCCTTTATCTTCACTGTCTTCGGTGGAGCCAGCTTTGAAGACAATGGGGGAGGGGGCTTAGCAGTGGGTCATCCAGAGCTGGATGGCCGAGGCCTGACTGAAGGAGATGCTTGGCCGGAGCCCAGCATGCTGATGGTGGCCTCCCAGACTCCTGTACCCCTCTCCTAGCTTGGAAACTGAGCTCATCCAGGGCCCGTGGGCTCAGTCAGGGAGTCCAAAGGGAAGGAGTTGGAGGGACCTCAGGGAGTCACCCACCAAAACAAACAAACAGACTGACCCGACAACAGCTCCTGATTCTCAAACTTGGGATCACATTAGTTGGCACAATTTCTCACTTAAATTCTGGAAGGAAGAGGCTACAGGAATCCACTCCACTCCCTTCCCAGTTATCCATGGCTGGCTAGGAACACACCTATACTCCTAAAACCTCCCTCCAATTCTAGGCTTCCTCAGGGCCCTCTAGCCAGCATTCAGCCCCCTCCACCATTTCCTCTGGAAGACCCACTCCATTGTCAACAAATTTCCCTCCATCCTCCTGTTCCTCGTTTCCAGGTGTGTGGTTGTGGGGATTCTTTCTCAGGTAAGGGATGGCCTGCAGCTGGCACCCCTTACATCTCTGAAATACTGTGGATAATCTCTCCGCCCCGACAGTCTACATATAAGGAAACCTAGGCAAATATTACTCAAGTGACTTGTGGGGGGAGAGGTCCACACAGCTAGTAAGTGACAGAAATTGGATTTGAACTCAGGTCTTCCTCACTCCAAATCTGGTTTGGTCTCTGAATTACCCAGCTTCCACAACAATCGGGATCTTCTGCTTTGTTTCTCTCCCCACCTCACCTCCATATCCACCTTCAGCCTTGCCTCTTCCTTTCTAGCTGTTCTCTGAGTATCTAATTCCACCCTTCTCCTTTTACAGGTGTGGGAGGACACCACATTAAGTGACTTACCCAGGGCCACACATAGCTAGCTAGAGACTGAATTAGAACCCAGGTTCTCCTGCTCTGTCCCTCTGGCTGCTTGGATTTCCCTGGAAGGGAAGGTGATGGAGAACTCTAGAGCCAATGATCCCATTGATTCTGAGAACCTTCTCTATGTGCTTCAGACTTCACTGCAGGCATTGCTGGTTTTCCCCTTAAACTTTGTGTCTGTTGCTAATTACCAAGAGTGAAAGACCTAGTCAGACACTAGCCTTGACACTGATCAGCTATGTGACAATGTAGAGGTTATTGTCTCTGAGTCTCATTTTCTTCATCTTTAAAATGGGTATAATGATGATTACAGTTCCTTCCTCATTGAACTCCTGTAAAGAAAGAAAAGCCCTTGCTTGGCAAATCACTTCACCTAGCTGTGCCTCAGTTTACTCAACTGTAAAAGAAGAGGGAGGGACCCTGAGATCCTTTTCAGCCCTATATTAGTACATGTTTATTGACTGTTGACTAACTGACTTCCTTGATTGTAGGACCTAACCAAGGAGCTACATGGGAGATAAGGCAAGAAAGAATATTTGTTGAAGAGGTCACCCTAAGGAACAGTCAATAAATGTCTGTAAAATGAGGGGGTTGGACGAGAATATATCTAAGGACCCTTCTAGCTCTAAATTTATGGTCCTATGTTCCCTCCTATCTCTAACAGTTGTGATAAAGCTACCAGAAAAATGGGGCTAGGGGGAGAGTGTGACTCTGGAGTCAAAGGACCTGGGTTCAAATCCCTTCTTGGCCCCTCACTCCCTGTGTGACCCTGGGCAAGTCACTTAACATTTCTGATTCTTGTTTGCCCATCTATAATAACGATCATCTCTAAGGTGCCTTCTTGCTCCAGATCTATGGACCTTCCTGTGAAGCCTCATGAGGCATTGACATATAAAAAGATCTGAAACAGTGAGTGGAGTGGGGGAGAGGATAGCTGGTGAGGAGGGGGAATGATCGAGAAGCCCAGTGAGAAATGAAGAGATGGCTGGCCTCCTTAAACGGAGATTCTGAGAGAAGCCCTCAAAACCCAGAGCCATATGGTACTTCTGAGGTATTTGTGTACCCCGAGGATCATGCTATTGGAAACTATCCAATTGCTCTGCCCTGGCACAAAGCTCCAGTTGCCCAACCTTAGTTATGCTGCTGCCCTCAATGCTTCCCCACTGCCTATCAAAAAGTCCAGTTCCCTGCAACTAACCATGTGACCTTGTGCAAGTCATTTAACTGCTCTAGGCTCATCTCTAAAATGGGGATAATAATAGCACCAACATCACAGGATCATTGTGAAGACCAAATAAGACAGCATATGTAAAGCCCTTAAAATGCTATCAAAATGCTATTTATTATTATCTGCAATTTATAATATTAAAGAATTGCCCAGAGCACTGGTTGAATGACTTACTTGGGGTCACAGAGTCAGTGGCAGAGGCAGGATTTGAATCCGGGTCTTCCTGAATCTGAGGCCAGCTCTCTAGCCGCTAAACTACCCTGCTAAACTACCCTGTTTTTTTTTTAAGTGAGGCAATTGGTATTAAGTGACTTGCCCAGAGTCACACAGCTAGGATGTATTATGTGTCTGAGGTCGGATTTAAACTCAGGTCCTCCTGACTCCAGGGCCGGTGCTCTATCCACTGCGCCACCTAGCTTCCTCAACTACCCTGCTTTTGTTAGGCAAAATAAATACAAAATGTGATTTTTTTTTCAGAGTGGACACGAACATCTGGGAGCAAGGGAAGCGTCCTGAGGAAGCGCTATCTGGGTTGAGCTTTAAGGAAGCTTGGGACCCCAAGAAGCAAAGATGAAGAGAGCCAGGCCTGGGGCCAGCTTGTGAAAAGGGGAGAGACAGACAGGGAGCAAAACAGAATGAGCCTGGAAGCGGGGTGGGGAGCAGGTGGAAAAGTGCTGGAAAAGCCATCAGAAGACTCTGTGTTGGAGTCTAGAGACAGAAGAGCCTCGGCCCAGATTCTGCCTCATGTCTGCATGATCCGGGCAAGTGTCTAAGCCTCATTTTCCTCATCTGTAGAATGGGCACAATCATATCTGTGGTATTAAGTCCGGCAGGGCCATTGTGAGAACCAAGCGAGACCCAAATGTGTATCATGTATCTCCCCATTTGTGCGGATGTTGTCTTCCCCTTGGAATACAAGCCCCCTGAGGACTGGGACTGTTTGGGCTTTTCCTTTGCCTCATCAAGGGGAAGTCACTCATCTCTCTGGGCCTCAGTGTCCTTGTCTGTGAGAAGGGGGCTTGGACTAGCAGACCTCTTAGATCCTTTTGAGTCCCTAGTCAGTGGTCCTGTATCCTGGGTCCCTACCAAGGGCCAAAGGAGTTAATATAGCTAACTGGACGGGGATGTGACAGTTATCAGAGCAATGTCACCAAAGAGAAGTCGTAAAGAAGATTTCAGTCCTGGCCCACACAAATTGGGCCTTGTTCCCAAGTTAAGATCTTCATTTGTAGCTGGCAGAGCTGCATGGCTGCAGTGTCGGCATGCCGGGAGCTGACGGCGCCGCTTACACACAGCAGGGGAAAGGCAGGAAGTCAGGAGTGGGACGTGCCCTCGGAGGGCTGTGCATCCCCAGGAGCTGAGGGCACAGAAGAGCCTCAAGCCCACAGCGCTGGGGATTAAGGTGGGGATTAAGGTGCGTCCTTGGGTCACTTTATGCCGCAGCCTGAGGTGATGGGTGTGGGGGGGGAGTGGGGGATTCCTGATCCCTTCTCCTTGATCCAGCTAACATTCTTAACAAATGTCCAAGTGAAAGAACGATAAGCAAATCCACCAATGGGATTTCTCTACATTTCTTTGCTAAATCTTTGCTACTTAATCCAAGACCTCTTCTCTTGATTTTAAGTGTCAATATGTGAGTCTGCTGAGCTTGGACCACTCTGCAAAATAATAAGAGCAATAATGAAGCATTTTACATACATAATCTCATTGGATCCTCGCAGCACCCTGTGAGGAGGGTGCCGTGGTAGCATCAGCCCCATTGCACAGATGAGGAAACGGTGTCAAGAAGGTTAAGCGGCTTACCGAGGGTCATGCAGCAGTAAGCATCAAAGACAGGATTTGAACCCACAGTCAATCAGCAAGCATTTCTTAAGCAGCTAGGCGTTAAGGAGAGGGGAGAGGAATGGGAACTGGGTTTTCATTGGTATGGGAAGTTTCCAGTGAAGAAACGTTCTCTACCAAAGCAGGTCAGCCCCTTCCCTGCCGCTTATGGGATAGGGAGCTGCCTGCAGCACTGAGAGGGTGTCCAGGGTCACACAGCCAGGATGTGTCGAAGGGGAGGTGTACAAAACATCTCCAGTCCCTCAGGAGCTCACCTCTATCAGGGGAGACAATGTGTGCAGCAAGGCTAGGGCTGGCAGTCACCTCTCTCCCCTCCCCTCCCCTCTTTGTGCATGGGGCACACTGGCTTTCTCTGGCCACGCCCTCGGTTTTCCTCACTTTAGAGGAGTGGGGGTTTTCCAAACCAGGCTCTGGTGAAGGTCCGCTGCCCAGCCACTCTGGCTAATTCAATTGCCCAGAGAGACCACAGCCCCTTGAGTTCTCTCTGCCCTTGGAAGTTGTAAAAAGTAAATTAATAACTTTTTTTTTTCCATCTCCAAGTCCCCAGTCAGAAATCACACTCTGGCAGAGAAGTAGTCAGAAATCTCTCTCTCCCCTTCCCTCTTCTCCCCTCCCCTCCCCTCAGTGCTCTATTCTGGCCACAACACACACATTCACTTCTTCACCTACCTCTTTCCCCCATGATCTGCAGGGGTGATACCGGCTGGTGTTCCAGACAAATTCAAGCTCAGGGGCTCCTTCATAGATCTCTATTTTCCAATGAACCTAGCACATTTAACAAAGGCCTCAAGTCAGAGAGGTAATGCCTCCTTTCCTAGATAGCCTCTGTATTCTTAGAGCAGTAACATTTATATGTCTAGAAGGAGAAAGCCAGAAGATAATAATTGCTGGCATTTGTGTCCATTTAACAGATAAAGAAAGCAAGACTGAGAGAGATTGCCTTGGTAACAGGGTAAGTTAGGTATCAGACGCAGGATGTGAACCCAGCCCTTTTTAAGTTGAGGTCTAGCATTCTATCCACTATTCCCTATGGTGGATGGTCGTGAGGGACATCCCATCTCCTGTCCCCAAAGGAGAATAAACTCTACTTTGTTACACACTCCATGACCAGGCACTTGAGTCTCCAATCTTTCATGAGAACAGTATGATTATGGGGTTGCAAATAGAATGGAGAAAGTGGCTATGTTAGACCCAGACACCTCTTTATTCCAAACCTGAACCAAAAAAATAAAAACCTACCCAAGCGCTAAAGCAGGAGGTTTTTTTAGGCTTTTGGAAAAGAAAAACTAGAAATCTAACAGAGTGTCACTTTCTGGTTCTTTTTTCTTTTTTAAGAATAATTTTAATTATCTATGTAAGACGAGTGTTCCGTTCCCTTACCTCAATAATTATGGAGGGCCAGGAATTCTCAATTGACTCAATCAATCACTCTACTTTACTAAAAATAACTAACAAGATGGTGATATCTTTGTCATGTAAGAACATCTCTGTTTAATCTATCAATCAAAGGTAATGAACTAGGTGTGAAAGGTTATTGACCAGCTGGGAAAGAGTGGAGGCCATTGGATGAGGTAGAGTGCTCCTGGGCATGAAGTGTTTGGGGGTTGGCTGAAAGACATCAGTCACATCCTGTGGGGTCTGTGTTAAAATGAGAAGTTAGGTTGAAATTGAACATTTGAGTGACAGGCATCCTGGAGAAAGGAGCAGTCCCAGCCAGGCTCCGCAAGGGAATTGCTTAGGGTGAGGATGGGAGAATAAGAGTCTGTCTCCTCTTTCCCACTCTACCTTTACCCTACTGCCTTGACCAGAGGAAGACCTTACAAACTTCAAAAGATCTGACAGATTTTGGATTTCCCACTGACAACCTGGTAATATCCCTGAAACAGCCAATGTCAGCGTCCTTACCAAGGAGCTAAGGACAAACTAGACCCAGTAGGGAAAGACAGCTTTAAGACTCTACAGAGATCCCAGCAGAAATGGACCCCATGCTTATGGGGAATTCTGTGAAAGCCCCACAAAGGAGAGAAAAAGACTTCTAAAAAATGCCTTCTAGCCAAGAGTTTCTTTTATCTGCCTGTACATAATATTTCAGTATAGTCAGATAAAAGAAGGTATTTATAGAGCACTTTATAAACATTATATCATTTTATTCTCACAACAACCCTGGGAGGTAGGTACTATTATTATCCCCATTTTACAGACAAGAAAACTGAGGCAGACAGCAATTGACGTTTTCACCAGTTTTGCTGAACTGTTTTTACCTTTGTTTGGAGGAAAAGAGACTCGGTGGCCATGGTGAGGTGGGGGGAGGGGTAAGGAATAGCTTCAAAAATGACCATGTTGTGAAAACAAAAAAGCATCAGTAAAATGTTCAAAATGAAATGAAATGAGGTCATTGGACTACATTGTCCTCTGGTCCCTTTCAGCTCCTCACCCTGTGAATAGCTCAGTAACTCTTACTGTAGCTTACTCTCCAAATAGCTGGTTTCAATCTCCTCTCTTGCCAACAGTGTCAGAGAGGTAGGTTAAGAGTCGGAGGAGGACCCTTCATCTCTGAGGCTGGGGCAGAATGTACCCAGCAGAGAAATGGGCCCAGGCTTAAGGAGCAATTTCCCAGAAATGAAAGGCAGAGCACTTTGTGTAAGTAGGGCAGCTTCATTTAACAAAGACTTCCGTGCAGGGCTAGTCATATAAGTGACAACACGTTTATCTTTGGGGCGAAGTGGAGATGACATTTCTAACAGATCTAATTTCATAGAACCATAGAATCGGATTTGGGGGCCCGAGGGGCAGACATCAGGTGCAGCTAGTCCAAGAAGCTCCCTTTACAGCTGTGTTTGGCGGGCGACAGAACTGCTTGGCAGACCCTGCTTTTTTGGCTAAGGATACACAGCCAGTATTCTTGGTCTAATGCAGCGGCTGGCAGCCTTGATACCCCTGCAGCCAGACTTAAATGTCTTTCAACCTGACTGGGATCATGGGACCTGGAAGGGAACTCAGAGATCATCCAGAAATAGTCATTGAATCCAAGAATTGGAACGTACATTGGCAGCCCTGAGATCCAATTGGTACCCACCCCTCTTACGACACATATGAAAAAAATACTTATGGCATCAGGGATCTAGATGGGGCCTTGGAGGTCATGCAGTTCACCCCCCTCCTTCTAAAGAAGGAAACTGAGGTCCATAGAGAGAAAGGGAAGTGAGACCCAAGGTCACACCAGCAGCAAGTGAGAGAGACAAGATCTGAACCCAGGCTCTCCGATTCTGGAGTCAAGAGCTCCATCCACTGATACTCACAAGACTCCCAGCCTCAGGGTGTACATACTTAGCACTCCTTCCCACATGGACACTGAAAGGAAGAGGGTCTGGGATCCTGGCATTTCTGCTGTAAAGTCCCCAACGCTGGTCTATGCCTTCAAGGAGGCCCCATGCTTACTTATTTCCAACAAGTACCATATCTCATCTTCCCTTCTCACAACAAAAACCTCTCAGCCCCACTCCCTCACTATAGGAAAACAGGAGAGACTACTTGTCCAAGGAGGCTTATATTTGGGTGGGAGGGTGGGTGATAGATATACAAAAAAAAAAAGCATCAGTGAAACTTTTTTTTTCCAAAAATATGCAGAAGAAACCCAAGAAATACAGCAGGGGATGCAAATACAGATTTTGTTACAACTTTGTGTGTTTATATACATAACATATTAGGGCAGCTGCAGAGAGTGCCAAATGTGGAGTCAAGAAGACCTGAGTTCAAATCTGGCCTCAGACACTTATTAGCTGTGTGACCCTAGGTGAGTCCCTTTACCCTGTTTGCCTCAGTTTCCTCATCTGTAAAATGATCTGGAGAAGGAAATGGCAAACCACTCTAGTATCTCTGCCAAGAAAACCCTAAATGGGGTCATGAAGAGTCACACACGACTGAAATGACTGAGCTGTCTGACCCTACCCTTTATTTGCCTCAGTTTCCCCATCTATAAAGTGGGGATAATAAGACCCCCTACCTCCAAGAGGATCAAATGGGATCATAATTGTAAAGCACTTAGCACAGTGCCTGGCACATAGTAGGTACTTTGCAAATGTTAGCTATTACTATGACATACATTTACAGGGTGTCCTAAAAGTCTTAGTGCACTTTTAAACTATTAGAGCTTCTATATCTCCATACAGATAATGCACATTATGCTTTTTTAAAAACAAAGCAAGAGAAATCCATGGTTTCTTTCATCTGCCTTTCTTGTTCTTTGTATATGGAAACATTTGTGTTTGTTGGTGATTAAGTTCACAACAAAAAAACCCTTGAACTTAAAAAATAAATACAGTGGGTGCTAGGGGTGCAGTCCCCTTCCTCCTGCAATCCTGTTGGAATAATGGAGGAAAATCAATCTTGTTAGCAACAAGCTGGCCGCCTGGGCCTGGTCACCAGGAGAGATCAGAGGTGGGGAGAGAAGGGAAAGGACAAACAGGTGTGACCTAACCAAGGGTTAAGGGAAGGACCTTCAGGAAGGAGAAAGTACAGAAGATGAGACTTGTCCTCAGCTTGCCTGGGCACCTGGGGGGCTGCCTGGCTGTGAGTGAGCTGGGAGTCAGGAATGGAAGCCAGAAAGCTCCCCCCTTCCCTCCATTCCCCCAGCTTGGGGCAAGCACGCCAATGCAGGACATGTGGGAGCGCTCCTCTGCCAGGAGAGCTCTTGTACCCAGGATGGCAAAGGACCCTGGGACTTCCTAGCCTTTTGGGGACCAATGGTCACTCATTCAAGAACATCCTTTTTTTTTTGGCTAAGCGATGGGGTTAAGCCCAGGGTCACAGAGCTAGTAAGTGTTATGTGTCTGAGGCCGGATTTGAACTC